GGCCCAGCAATAGCCTTTGTTAGTTTTTTTGCGATAGTGGTTTTTTGGGGGTTGCTGAATGCCTCTTAAAAACAAGCTGTCTGGCAGAGAATTCTTCCCTGCTCTTTAGGCAACATATCACCTAGTGGACCTGACGTAACTTTTGGTGTTATTGATTAAATGTTATATAATTACAATGAAATATAAAAGTGAATTTATTAGGATAATGTTAAAAATAAATATTTGCATTATTTAAATATTTTACAATGTTAATGACAAACTTTTAAAATGATACAGTATAGTCTGAAACCACCTTCATCATATCAAAAGCATTTTTGACATTCGCTAAAGTCAAAAGAAAAAGAACGAAGCCATAGTGAACAGGCTAAGATGACTAAGACAAGAGATGGCAGACGAGACAGAAAAGGTACCATGTAGAGCCAAGATGTCATACAGATATCACCTGTCTAGTCTATAAGTTTTTCAACAGTGTCACCTGGCACATCAATAGAGCTCCCTGGATACATCACCATTTCTTAGATAGTGGATAGAACTAAATATTGAAAAACAAATGACAATAAAGAATTCCACAATTTTTGTTATGTGCTACTCTCAGCATTCTCAATCGAGAACTGCTAGCTTTTCACTTACAGAAATTAATATCAGATACAGGATCAAACAAATGCCTCGAGGTTTTTCCTGGACCACTTCTCTAGAATTCTAGTCTGTTGGGACAAGTAGGTTGGAATATATCTACTTAAACTCAATCTGATAGCTTTTCTCTAAATAATTTCTACTATATCTTAACTGAGTAAGAATTGTACAATACTGCTAGGCAGGAATGGACATTACCTTCTATCACCAGTATTGGAAATATTACCCCTAGAACAGCCAGGGCCCATCCAAGGAACATATTGAAATATACTTTAAAGATGTTCCGGAAGAGTTAAAACAAAAGAAGATAAATTATGCATGCAATATTTCAATGATGGAGAGGATTTGGGATCACTGAGTGGGGAAGAATTTTATTTTAAAAGATCCATTGGAAAGGGTATTTGCAGAGCATATCAACTACTATTCATGTGTGTTTAGAACAGGAAGAAACATAAGCCAACAAAAAATATAAAAGAAAGAATTGTTTGTGTTTATTGTTAAAAGGCAGACATCATCCCATGGAAGAATCCAGTGTTCCTAAAGTCAAAAAAACCCACCCAGTGAATGGAATCTTATAACTGATTTATGTTCCTTTGTGCCATATCACCTATCCTGGGGGGGGTATAGCAAACAAAAAGAGAGCGCTTGAGATTGGGATGAAGGACTTCTAAAACTACATGCACAAGAGCCTTTTCTACTACTAAGATTAGCGACAACCTAGCAATGCTTTCTGTAATATTCAGGAGAGGTTCTGCCTACCTTTCACTCGATTATTTTCCCAATAAAATTATCTTTAAAGTCAATATGAACTAGGTAGCTGAACTGTTAGCTGGGGAGAGTTGTTGCCCTTAGAACAAGTTTTCTGGTTTCTCAAAAAATAGATGAGAAGTCTTGCATCTTACACTGAGATTGAAAGCTCTTCTGGGTTAGGACCATCTTTTTGTACTGGGGCTCCAAGGTACTACAGTAATACATACATGCAACCAACCAACCAGATGACTACCTCGGTACAAAGTCACATGCATACGGAACAGTGGTTTTCCTTCCTAAGGAGTGCAACAATGTCCAGTTAGGGTTATTGTGGACACAGAATGTATGTGCATGTGACCTAATGGGCACCAGGCACCTTAAAATGATTCCTCTAACTTTTAGGAAGCAGCATCAAACCTCCCAGGACCTGTTGGGAAAGAGAAGCATGCTCCTGTGGCCTGAAAGAGGGCTGTAATAACGCTGCTGTGCTTGCAGCAGTTATACTAGCAATTACATTAAAACAATCTCCCTGCCAAGAAAGGAACAGGAAGTGGGGGCATGAAAAACAAAACAAACAAACCCACAACACAATGAAGTGCTTGCAACAGCTAGAAAGTTTTCTTCATGGAGCAGAAAAGATTACCCAGCAATGGGAGCTAAGCCAAAACGTGCACCAGCTGAAGTGATGTGCTCTGTAAATCTGGGAGAGCATTTGCCCTTGAAGTACCTACCAAACATGGGGTAGGCAGACAAATTTGTCCTGTAACAAGGGTTGAACAGGTGGAAAATATATTCTATCTTCCCCAAGAATAAGAACGTGAATGCGTTCTGGTGCCTCTGATAGGTTATTGCATATATACTGGCCTCACTGGCATGTTATTTTTTCTGTGCTTTAGAGTATGTGGACCCTTATTACATCACATTATGAGGAAATTGTCATTTGTAAGACTGGGAATGATGAAATTGCAACACCAAGTTCATATTTAGTAGTGCTGTCGATTAATTGCAGTTAACTAACTAAAAAAAATTAATCGCGATTAATCGCAGTTTTAATCGCACTGTTAAACAACAGACTACCAATTGAAATTTATTAATTTTTTGGGGATGTTTTTCTATATATTCAGATATATTGATTTCAGTTACGACACAGAATACAAAGTATACACTGCTCACTTTACATTATTTTTTATTACAAATATTTGCATTGTAAAAATGAGCTCTGATTTTCAGTGCCCAGCAGCACCTAGGCCCAGAGCAGTCATTAGAGGGAGTGTCCTGCTTAGCCTGCATAGCCCTGAGCTGGAACATGCTCAGTCACTCCATGAGGGTGACTAGGGTCCAACCAAAGTCATGGCCATGAAAAACAAGTCAAGGACCATGAAATCGGGTCTCCCCCCGTGAAATCGGGTCTCCCCCCGTGAAATCGGGTCTTCTGTGTGCTTTTACTCTATACCATACAGATTTCACAGGGAGACCAATGTTTCTCAAACTGGGGGGTCCTGACCCGAAAGGGAGTTGCAGTGGGGGAGAGGGGTCACAGTATTGCCATCCTTACTTCTGCATTGTCTTCAGAGCTGGGCAGCCAGAGAGTGGTGACTGTTGAATAATTTGGCTGAAATTTTTCAAAACTCAGCCTGAGGCAAACATCTAGCATGGAAAATTTTAGCTTGAAAGATTTGGTTGCTACAAGTAACTGAAAACAGGGTCTTATAACAGGAAGTGTTGGGAAATCTTAATAAGCAATTATACCAACCACACCTACCGTGCAAGCTTTTTTTAAATCCACATTTCTGAACCTTTTGGAGCATTCGTCAGACCTCCCTTCACTAACAATTTGCACTTTGAAGAGTTCAGATTTAAAAACAGGACTTTTTAAAAATATCCCATAGTAAAAATGTATACAATAATTAGGGTTGTAGATTAATAGCAGTTAACTCGCGCGATTAACCAAAAAAAATTAATCGTGATTAATCGCAATTTTAAATCGCACTGTTAAACAATAGAATATCAATTGAAATTTATTAAATACTTTGGATGTTTCTCTACATTTTCATATATATTGTATTCTGTGTTGTAACTGAAATCAAAGTGTGTATTATTTTTGATTATAAATATTTGTACTGTAAAAATGATAAACAAAAGAAATAGCATTTTTCAGTTCACCTCATACAAGTACTGAATTGCAATCTCTTTATCGTGAAAAGGCAACTTATAAATGTAGATTTTTTTTGTTACATAACTGCATTAAAAAACAAAATAATGCAAAACTTTATAGCCTACAAGTCCACTCAGTCCTACTTCTGATTCAGCCAATCGCAAAGACAAACAAGTTTGTTTACATTTACAGGAGATAATGCTGCCCACTTCTTATTTACAATGTCACCTGAAAGTGAGAACAGGCGTTCGCATGACACTTTTGTAGCCCGCATTGCAAGGTATTTACATGCCAGATATGCTAAACATTCGTATGTCCCTTCATGCTTCGGCCACCATTCCAGAGGACATGCTTCCATGCTGATGACGCGTGTTAAAAAAATAATGCGCTAATTAAATTTGTGACTGAACTCCTTGGGGGAGAATTGTATGTCCCCTGCTCTGTGTTACCCGCATTCTGCCATATATTTCATGTTATAGCAGTCTCGGATGATGACCCAGCACGTTGTTCATTTTAAGAACACTTCCACTGCAGATTTCACAAAACGCAAAGAAGTTATCAATGTGAGATTTCTAAAGATAGCTACAGCACTCGACCCAAGGTTTAAGAATATGAAGTACCTTCCAAAATCTGAGAGGAACGAGGTGTGCAGCATGCTTTCAGAAGTCTTAAAAGAGCAACACTACATGCGGAATCTATAGAACCTGAACCACCAAATAAGAAAATCAACCTTCTGCTGATGGCATCTGACTCAGATAATGAAAATGAACATGCGTCAGTCCGGACTGCTTTGGATTGTTATCGAGCAGAACCTATTATCAGCATGAATGCATGTCCTCTGGCATGGTGGATGGGACATGAATCTTTAGCACATCTGGCATGTAAATATCTTGTGACGCCAGCTACAACATTACCATGAGAATACCTGCTCTCACTTTCAGGTGACATTGTAAACAAGAAGCAGGCAGCATTATCTCCTCCAAATGTAAATAAACTTGTTTGTCTGAGCAATTGGCTGAACAAGAAATAGGGCTGAGTGGACTTGTAGGTTCTAAAGTTTTACGTTGTTTTATTTTTGAACGCATTTTTTTTGTATACATAATTCTACATTTATAAGTTCAACTTGCATGATAAAGAGATTGCACTACAGTATTTGTATTAGGTGAATTGAAGAATATGATTTTTTTTTTACAGTGCAAATATTTGTAATAAAAAATAAATACAAAGTGAGCACTGTACACTTCTTATTCTCTGTTGTAATTGGAATGAACATACTGTATTTGAAAATGTAGAAAACATCCAAAACTATTTAAATAAATGGTATTTGTTATTGTTTAACAATGAAATTAATTTTTTTAATTACGTCATTAATTGCGATTAATTTTTTTTAATCGCTTGACAGCCCTAAATTTAGTAAAACAAATATAATCTATTAAACTTTATAAAAAACTGCCAAATCCAAGAATGTATAAAAAATTTATTACGCAATTAAGATTTATGATGAAGTAAATTGAAAATTAAACATTAAAACCGCAAATCTGATAATACAGCCACATTACAAAGTCATAATACATTATACTGCATTTGGATCTTCTAGACCAGTGTTTCCAGGAGCTTAATAACGTGCATATATAAAGCAGGGGTGCACAGGAGAGGCTAGGAATTCTGGTGGAATACAAAGCCAATGTACATTATTATTAGCATATTAAAATCCATGTCTATAAGCAAACAAAGAAATGCAAATCACATTCTATTACGGCAAACACTACTAAATATAAAAGTTTAACAAATAATTCAGCCCAAAGAAGGAATCTTGATTCCCTCCAGTGGACTTCTGGGGCCAAATGAATGACTCCTCATTAAGGAAAGGTGCCCTGCCCACCTTGGCTGAAGGCAAAGCTGGTCTCCAAGGAATTATTTTGGACGAGAGGGAACGTACATAGCAGGACTAACTATATACTAGAGCACTATTCCTCAGCTCTCTCCCTACCAAAAAATGCAATTTTCAGATTGCAATGGTTAATTAAAATGTCTTTGATGTCTTTACAAATTTATAAAATAATATTCTCTCTGTAGCCTTCCAGAAATGCTCCTTCTGTATCTTTAGTGATGAAGTCTTCCAAAAGAACACCTGCGCTTTTCTCTCTCCCATCATTGTAGCTGAGTTTTCTGGATACCCTGGAAAAGAATTTTAGATCATAAGTTACTGGTAATTAAAAAGCATCCATGCTAGCTGAATCTCCAAAGAACAGAACAGAAGCTGCATGCCAAAGCAAAGAATCTAGCAACCTTAAAATATTAATGGCAAAATGCAATAGGCCTAATACAGGAATTCCCACATCCACCCAACTGCCGAAAATTCTTTATTTTTTCATTGTATTAATGCCTAAATAATATGAATAAATTAAATGAAATCTGCTTTAACGTAATTTAGGTTAAAAGCTTTAAAAACAACCTACTGCATGTGTACGAACAGAAATGTAAATTAAAGTTTTGCTCCACTAAGCAAATTCATCTATACAGAATTCATCTACAGCTCTACTTTTCATTTTCCCCCTCAGGAATTGAAGGATTGGCAGCTTGTTGTTTAAATTTGTTGTAAACTAATCCACTCTGTGATCACACCCTCAAGTGGTCCATCCGAATACAGTCTGAGCCAACAATTCATAACAGATCTATAATAAATCTGTTAGTTATTGACCTTTCCATCTCTGAAGTTGATCTTTAATAATTAGCTTCTTGCTAGAGGTTGCCAAATCCAAAGTCATTACAGACACAAGAGGACTTGGCTGGTTCTTCCCCAGCTGCTGATTAGAACATACAGCAGCTTTGCTATCTACTTGACTAAGATTTCTGAAGACTTCAAAACCACACAGGGCAAGTTCCATTTCCAGGATGTTTACTGCAGTCATCTCTTGGACCTCTAAAGCTATCATAATGCTGGCCTGAGGAAACTATCCAGATGAGTCTTAATTCAGGTTACACAAATGTATAGTCACTGATTTGCAATTAAGGAACACATTTTCTATTCCAGATAATTTAGCAATCGAAGAGTCACTAATGCTTTTCACATGAAGCCTGTTACTTGTATGGACGAAGAAAAAAAGTTTCTGGCTCAAAACAAATTGCCCATATCATAGGGAGAGGTTTCCATTTATAACAGAGAGAAGAAAAAAACATGAATTAAGAAACTGAGTAAAGATGTAATAAAAAATATTTACGTGAGCAAGCTCAAGCAAAGCTCACAGAAAGACCACCTATCCATTAGCTTGCTCAAGATCATCCACTAAATCAACTATTTTTTAATCTCATATATAAATGAAAGGCCTTAACCAGAGAGAAATTCCATACTTTCATTAAAAAAGAAAATGAAAACAGCAAACAACTAAGCAGGAGTGGAGATGAAACTGCAGAAACACACACACATAACCAGCCCACTACATTTTCTGTATATATCATATGTTAGAGAAATTGTTTTTGAAAATATATTTTTGTCATTTTTTAAAAGGTTACTAGATTAAGGATAATCTAGGCATGGTCCAATATCTAAACAAATACTTTGCCTCAGTCTTTAATGAGGCTAATGAGGAGCTTAGGGATAATGGTAGGATGACAAATGGGAATGAGGATATGGAGGTAGATATTACCACATCTGAGGTAGAAGCCAAACTCGAACAGTTTAATGGGACTAAATCAGGGGGCCCAGATAATCTTTATTAAATTAAAGGAACTGGCACATGAAATTGCAAGCCCATTAGCAAGAATTTTTAATGAATCAGTAAACTCAGGGGTTGTACCATCCGACTGGGGAATTGCTAACATAGTTCCTATTTTTAAGAAAGGGAAAAAAAGTGATCCAAGTAACTGTAGGCCTGTTAGTTTGACATCTGTAGTATGCAAGGTCTTGGAAAAAATTTTGAAGGAGAAAGTAAAGGACATTGAGGTCAATGGTAACTGGGACAAAATACAACATGGTTTTACAAAAGGTAGATCGTGCCAAACCAACCTGATCTCCTTCTGTGAGAAGGTAACAGATTTTTTAGACAAAGGAAACGCAGTGGATCTAATTTACCTCAATTTCAGTAAGGCACTTGATACGGTTCCACATGGGGAATTATTAGCTAAATTGGAAAAGATGGGGATCAATATGAAAATTGAAAGGTGGATAAGGAACTGGTTAAAGGGGAGACTACAACGGGTCATACTGAAAGGTTAACTGTCAGGCTGGAAGGAGGTTACTAGTGGAGTTCCTCAGGGATCGGTTTTGGGACCAATCTTATTTAATCTTTTTATTACTGACCTTGGCACAAAAAGTGGGAATGTGCTAATAAAGTTTGCGGATGACACAAAGCTGGGAGGTATTGCTAATACAGAGAAGGACCGGGATATCATACAGGAAGATCTGGATGACCTTGTAAACTGGAGTAATAGTAATAGGATGAAATTTAATAGTGAAAAGTGCAAGGTTATGCATTTAGGGATTAATAACAAGAATTTTGGTTATAAATTGGGGACACATCAGTTGGACGTAACAGAGGAGGAGAAGGACCTTGGAGTATTGGTTGTTCACAGGATGACTATGAGCCGCCAATGTGATATGGCTGTGAAAAAAGCTAATGCAGTCTTGGGATGCATCAGGCGAGGTATTTCCAGTAAAGATAAGGAGGTGTTAGTACCGTTATACAAGGCACTGGTGAGACCTCATCTGGAATATTGTGTGCAGTTCTGGTCTCCCATGTTTAAGAAGGATGAATTCAAACTGGAACAGGTACAGAGAAGGGCTACTAGGATGATCCGAGGAATGGAAAACCTGTCTTATGAAAGGAAACTCAAAGAGCCTTGGCTTGGCTTGTTTAGCCTAACCAAAAGAAGGCTGAGGGGAGATATGATTGCTCTTTATAAATATATCAGAGAGATAAAAATCAGGGAGGGAGAGGAACTATTTAAGCCTAGTACCAATGTAGACACAAGAACAAATGGATATAAACTGGACATTAGGAAGTTTAGACGTGAAATTAGACGAAGGTTTCTAACCATTAGAGGAGTGAAGTTCTGGAACAGCCTTCCAAGGGGAATAGTGGGGGCAAAAGACATATCTGGCGTCAAGACTAAGCTTGATAAGTTTATGGAGGGGATGGTATGATGGGATAGCCTAATTTTGGCAATTAATTGATCTTTGATTATTAGCCCAATGGACTGTGATGGGATGTTAGATGGGGTGGGATCCGAGTTACTACAGAGAATTCTTTCCTGGGTGCTGGCTGGTGAGTCTTGCCCACATGCTCAGGGTTTAACTGATTGCCATATTTGGTGTCTGGAAGGAATTTTCCTCCAGTGCAGATTGGCAGAGGCCCTGGAGGTTTTTCGCCTTCCTCTGCAGCGTGGGGCACGGGTCACTTGCTGGAGGATTCTCTGCACCTTGAGGTCTTTAAACCACGATTTGAGGACTTCAATAACTCAGACATAGGTTAGGGGTTTGTTACAGGAGTGGGTGGGTGAGATTCTGTGGCCTGCATTGTGCAGGAGGTCAGACTAGATGATCATAATGGTCCCTTCTGACCTTAAAGTCTATGAGTCTACTGTATTGTGTATTCTGTTGCCTATAAAGCTGGATTAGTTATGAGTCTACAAGAACAAGACTCTGAGGGAGCTGACGTTTCAGAAATCTGTTACCTTAATATTTTCTTTCTAAACAAAAATCACAAATTAATATTTGCCCACTGGAAAGCTGGAAGTCTCCCATTTCCAGTGGTAGATAATATTGTACCTGTTTCTAGCTTTAGTATGCCACAAGATATCAAAACCTGAACCTGTCAATGTACTAAAGTTATTAATCCTGGGTCTCAGAAAAGTAATTTTTTTGGGAGGGAGGATAGGATTTAGGGAAGGACACGTGATGAGAAAAGAAGCAAATTCTGTGATACCTTTAAAAATACTTGTGGATGTTAAGTCAATCTGCAGATTGGAAAGTTAGTGCTCTTTCTATATATTGATAAGGTAGACAAGATGTCTGTCACATTTCATACTTTATCATATATTCCATACATGTGCACATAGATTTAAATAATGTATTCCTGTATCATGTATACATACCAACTACAGCCTTTAAAATCTTAATGTAAAAAAGTCCCATGATACAATATATTACAAAAAGTCAGTGACAAATGGATCCTAAAAATATAGGTTTATACAAAGAGTAATGTAGTGTTATCAATTTAGTGATTAGCTGCAATCATTTTTTTATCATAAGTCCATAACCTATATATAGGCCCCCCTACTCCTCCAAACCACCACATAAAGAAAATAAAAAATAAGGAGCACAGCACATTTGTAAACCTTTTCTAAAAAAATAAAAAAAAAAATCGAATTTATTTTGCTGCTATTTTATAATTACTGAAAAGTCACTTGCCTTTGTTAATATTTTTGTGCACTTCTGGATGAGCCATTACTTTGCAATGTTCTAGGGATACTTGCATAGACATTTGCAATCCTGGATTCTGGTAATAAAAATAATGGGGTCATAAGGTTAAGCATCACATTGAGCAACCTATCCAGTACAGTATGTTAAAATATTGGACTATTCTGACCTTAGGAGCAAGCTCAGAGCAGCAGTTCTAAGTATTAAAAAAAAGCATCAACTTACTTCCATCTGCGAAGTATAATGAACGTTCTTTACATGAAAGCCTCTGGCCAAATTTAATTTCAAATACAATTTGTACTTTATAACAGTGAACATACTTAAATGTAAAATTAATTTCCTTTAAAGACCTTATAATTTATCAGCATTAGAAAAGGATGGAAATATCTTGCAATTAGGTTTAGGGTCACAGAAAGGCATTGCGGGGAGCTGCAAACATCAGTTAAGAGATATAATATAAAGGGATATAAGAGGTTAACAACTCAGAGCAAACAATAAAATGAGACTTATCTTGGAAAAATGAGCCCTAAAGAAATACTGTTAACATGAAAAAAAACCTTATTTCTGAAGAATTTGTACCTACTATACTTACCAGAAACACAGATTATTAAAACTGTAAGGCATTAACAAAAAAGTATATTTTTTTCCAGTCTTTTAACTATGTGCATTTGAGATTGTTTTATGTAGTCTGTCACCATTTCCCCTGCATATTGAGTTAGTTCTTCCCTTGCTGAAAAGATTCTAGTGTAACAGAAAAACTTTTTTAAAAGAAGTTAAATTTGACAGTGTCCATTCATATATCTGGGGAAAATAATTCAGAACACAAATGTTCAATGGGAGTGAGAAACTTCTCAAACAGAAATGCTGAAACTGATGGCAGTAGACAAATTAGATACACGTTTGCAATGCTACCTTGTAGGGAAAAAAGCTAGTGCAATTTGCTTACATAGAAACATCATATCAGAGTAGAAAGTTAACAGTCCCTCTTCCATATCGCTTGTATGTCATCAGACATGGAATACTGCATTCAATTCTGGGTTTCATTATTAGAGCCCTGTGCAAATGCAAAATTTGGATTTGCATCTATCTGCGATCAGCAAAAATGGTTCGTGTATACAGATATTAAGCGAATATCTGCGGATTTGCAGGGCGCTACTCATTACTGGACCTATACTAACTGGACAGAACTTAGGGAACAGCAACAAGAAATGACATGGGGGGCCGCTGTGACTGATTTATAAAGAATGATTAAGACAGTTCAATACTTATGGTTTGGCACTTAATCAGGTATGAACTGGAACATAGTAGTGGGCTACAAAACATTTAAATAGTATAAAATACTACAGATACAGGGGAGTATCAATAATAAAGGCAGTATATAATAAAAAAGTCAACATTTTGGTTGAATATCAGAGGGAAACAAAAGCTATTTAGACTGAAGAATCCTGACCCAATAGAGGTGGTAGAAGCTCCATCACCTGGGACATGCAAGGACTAACTGTGCTAAACAACAGAAGTGCATAACAGGAAATAAAACTCTGACGTGAAATGGAGATGGGCTAGATAACCTCACAGGAACGTTTCATGTCTACTTTCTGTAAATGTATCCGATACTGTCACTTTTAACAAGCAGATCAGGGCGACAACTTTAAAGAAAAGAAAGTCAAGTTTGTTTACATACTATTTTCCACTTTTCCTCTGACATGATTGAAATTATTCATCCCTATATATCAAGTGTCCTTCTTTGGGAACCCCAGAATGGACATTTCATGAGAGAATATCATATCCTCCTTGGAGAGGGATATTTATGTAAACAACTAGTTCAGAGATCACAGAAGGTAGATCAGAGTAACCAAAAAGTTATCACTAGGAGATTCCAGGGATGTAAGGCAAGGATGACAAAAGATATCAGAGGTAAATGACACCTCCTTTGAGACCAGAAGCTGGATCTCCATCAAGCTATTCTGCCAAAGGGTAACCTCTGGAAAAAGATGTGGTCCCCAAAGTGTGAAATTTTATTACTCTAATTATGTTGATGATACCAATCTAGGTTAGCTGTTGTACAGATTTAGCCCAGATCTACAACTAGGAGAGCTTTGCTGGTATAAGTGTACCACAGTAGCAATGCACGCTTAGTGCAGATTCAGTTTATACTGGCAAAACTGAGCTTTTGCCAATATAGCTAATACATTATGGATAACCTGAAAAATTTTGCTTGACTAAATGCTGTTGTAAGAGAGCAAGACAGACTCTGACCAGAAAATTCTTTCCCCTTACATGACTTCTTTAAAAATCTTAAGGGCTTTCCTCCACCCCTGCTGATGTTTAGAAGGGTCTTTTCATCAAGGGAAAAGGCCAGCACCCCCATTAAATGTGTTTAGGTCTGCCCATTTCCCATTTGTCTCCTGCTTCTGTTTACACTACTGACTGCAGGCCAGCTTCAGCAGCAGCAGCACTGAAGGAAAACCTCCCAACCTCTGAACTCTAGAGGAGTCCCAAAGAGTGAAAAATCCCTCTCCTGGCTCCCACTACTCCCTCGTCTACACTATAGTTTGGAGAAGGAAGAACAACCTTCCTGTCCCCACCCCCAGCCACATACAAAATGGTCTGTGAAGGGAAGAAGGGGGTCCCCCTGGCTGTCCCTTTTTGCCTCTTGCCTACACAGGGCTCCCAGGAAAAGGGTACACTCTCCTGGCACCAAACTTAGAAACAGCAAAAGCTCTTCTCTTGTGTTTCTGGTAAAAAGTAAATGCCCCCTTACAGGCACTAAGGAGAGGCATACCTGCTCCCCACAAGAGCAATGCAAAAGTGATGACATGCTAATGACAACTCACCATTAACAGAATCATGAAAGTGAACAAACACAGTGCTGTCAAAATGCACAAAGTAAAAAAAGCCGAGAAAACAGAAAAAAAATCTTGAATCACTTTCAGGTTATCTTATGTACTTCTTGCAACAAGAGGATGTATAACACCTCCAAAGAGTAATGAGATTTTTCAAGTTGACAGTGTCCCCATAAGTTTCAGCCTGGAGATTTTATGGCCAATTTAGATGGACCTGAAAATAATGTATTACATTGGAAATATTGACAACTTTAACTATGAGAACTATTGAAGCAGGTGCTGTTGTATCTGAAGTAGCTTATTTTAAATCTCAAGCTTCAGATTTACAATTCTCAGCAAGTCTTTTTAATGGTAAATATAAAGATTAGGAATTTTATAGGCCCCAGGAGTTTGTGCTTATCTAATCTCATACCAGTTTAATTTTTCAAATTCAGAACTTGAGCAAATCTTCTTGCTGACTCGGTGGCAGCACTTTAATTTAGTTTAACAAGTCCTCCTAAGGCAGATCTACACTTACAATGCTGCAACAGTGCAGCTGCACCACTTAAGCAAAGACGCTCCTATGCTGTTGGGAGAGCTTCTCCCATCGCCGTAATTAATCCACCTCCGCAAGAGACAGCGTCATGTCAATGGGGGAGGCTCTCTGCTGACATAGCCCTGTCTACGCTGAAGGTTAGGTTGGTATAACTATGTCGTCCAGGAGCCTTGATTTTCACACACCTGAGAGACAGTTATATGGATTTAAGTCTGCAGTGTAGACCTGACCTAGGACATATTTGTAATCTTGTTACTGTGTAACCACCAGTTCTGTAGAGCTGGAACAGGAACTCCGCAAGAGTGGTAATAAAAAACTTAGTTCTTGAAAACATGATTAACTAATCAGCGACTTCCCTACTACACATTAACGGATATTATCTATGTATGATATTAGCAATACAGCAGAGAAGGGGAACAGGAAAACCAGTATTTATTAAATGAAGCCTTAAGAAGAAAATTCTGATCTTATCCAAAGAAAAAAAGTAAAACACCCCAACAACTCTCAAGCTGTGGTCCAGGGTGCCCTTCTTGGGGATCTCCAGAAAGGAACATTTTGAGACATATCCAAGGATTGTTGGGAGAAGAATGGGTGTCCCTTAGGAAGAGGTCTGCAGAATGAATGAGTTGGAGATCTACTGGCTTCCCCTTAAGAAAAGCCCTCCTAATTGATAACGTAATTCATAATGCCTTTTGAAACTTACCTTGCACAAAAGTACTTGGACTAACTGGATAAGTGTGATTTGAAGACGTATGAAACCCAGAATCCTGAAAATGAAGCACTGAGAAATTAAATCAAAGTAGACACTTACAAGTGTGTTACAGTTAACAGCCTGGGTCAGAACAAGGAAATGGGAATCCTGCACTAAGGGCCTGATTTAAAACCCACTGAAGTTAATAGGAGTCTAATGATTCCAGGCCATTATCTTGTCCGGCTCAGTTTCTCTGCCTGCCTCTCTCACACAGGGCTGTGAAGAGGATTTAACAATGCTCATAGTTTGAGATTTTATTCCGTTTAAACTCAATTGCAATGAACTAAGATTAAACTAATACTTTTGTTGAATATTTGTAGGGGCCATATTCCCTAAAATGGGGAAATGGGATTAGGGGGCCCATGATCTTAATAACACTTCAAGCATTTCAACCATACTGGTCAAAAAACGGAAGCAGAAATTTTAGATTGACTTAAAGCTTCTCTTGGACTAAATCAATCTTTTTCAAAATGACTGTAGTACAAGCTATAATTTTTTACCCTTCTGCACATTATCAACCAAAAATAGTATAGTAAAAGTGTCCTTACAAAGTTTTCAGATGCCTGACTTTGACAATTAGGGCTATCAAATATGCCAGGAACAATCCCATCCATCACACTTGAGAAATCCAGGCCAGTTGTCTGAGGATTAATATTTTTTCTATGAGGAGACTGATTACTTGCTCTAGGAAAAATATCTTCAGGTATATTTTTCAGTCTCTTTACAGGTGAAGACAAAAGATCTTCATTGTGGAAATCTGCTACTCTTTTAATTCTGGTAACTGCAGGTAAAGTTCGTATGGGTGAGTTAATTAAAGCATTTACAGTTTCTGACATCTGTATGCCTTCATATTTCCTTAAGTTCGAAGCTCTCAGAAATGTGGGCAGTTTTGGAAACCCTTCAGAACACAATCTCTGATAAACCTCATCAAATGCACTATCATATTTTTTATGAGACTTTACAGAATTACAGAAGTAGGACTTGATTAGTCCTTTTTCTTTAGTGTTTGAAAGAGGCTTTCTAATCTTAAGAGGTTTCTGAAGTTCTTTGGGGCACAGCTTCTGGTAAAGTTTTTCAAATTCATCTTCACATTTCTGGTGAGTCTTGACTGGACTTTGATTCACAGGAAGTGAGGAAAAAGAATGACTGCGCTGCAGTGAAAAACCTCCCCTGAAAGTTTTTATTTCAGGATTTCTGATTAATGCATTTGATGTTCTTACTAGAGAATAGTTGTTAAGTGGTGGAAAGGTATTAGCATCACCATTCAAGTTGCAAGTGGACAAATGGAACCCTGATGTACCATCGAAAGCTGTATTGTCAGTTTTGCCGTTCTTGCTCTCTTTCACTAGACAAGGAGATGTTGTGCAAGTTACAGAAAAGCATCCCAGAGAAAGTACTTCAGGCAGCTTCCCATTTGGGCTGCCTTTTGAGTCATGTAGTGACACGGTGGTCTGAGGTGGATCCTCAGTTAGAAATGTTTCTTCTGTTCTAGCAGTAACATTTGGAAAAACAGACTCTGAGATGTTTTGGTCTATTCTTTGAATGTATGAATTATCTTCTAAATTTCCAGGCCAATCTATTTCCATTTCACTTGTATTAACATGTGGGTAAGATACCATACCAGATTCACCATTAGTCACACACCGTGTCTGACATTTGCCATCATGAAGAAGTTGGTTACTCTCATTTAAATTATTTCCAACAGGCAATTTATGATCATTACTATTTGTATTAGGCAGCACAGGCTTCAGTTTAGATGTCCTGAACCTTCTTATTCTTTCTATGGTGACATTAAGCTTTGATTTTCTAGGAGGCCATCCTCTGTGTTTGTAGTGTCTGATTATGGAATCAGCTGCTTTTTTCTGAGAGTGTTTGTTCATCAACTTGCTAAGTGTCTCCACCATTCCTGGATACAAATCTGCAAGTGTGACATTGTTCCAGGAACATTCTTCATTTGCAGACTGGTACTCTTCCATGAAGCTATCATAGCCCGTTTCATTTTTTTCCAGAAAAGGTATATGTCTGGGTAGAGTTATCTTATCTGCTGAAATAAGAAAAGCAGAAACACATAGTATGAGAGACCTGGATGCAGGAGGTGCATTTCTAGATTCTGCTTTCCTTCTGAAACCATTAGCTTGGTTATGTATTAGGCCAAATAAAGTTATATACAACAGTGCTTAGAGCCTTTCAAATAATCTATTAATTACATAGCATAAATCTAATTTTAAATATTAGAAGGTGTACAAATATTCTTGCAATGTTGATCTTCATGTGCTGTTAATAAAGCCTTGTAAAATTCTAGTTTGTTTTCTTTTTCATGAGTAAAATTTCTAGTGTTTTTCATCACGATTCCCATCAGGTTACAGGATTGTTGCTGGACAAATACTTTTTAGTAAATTTTCATCAACGTTTGTACAAGGCTATATTAACAGACTGCAGAAAATGGATACCAAGTGTCTTGGAGTACAAACTATTTTAAAGTTCTTCTGGGGCGTAAGTGGGAGTTGTCCAAAAAAGACTTCTTGCAACAAGAATATGTACAACACTCAGTGGTGAATGCATGTTAGTGCAAAATATTTTCACTGCCAAGACAAATAGAGCCTCTCCTCTTATCAAATCTGCAATAATGACTGGGAAGCGAATGTGAATTTCTTAGCAAGCAAAGACAAAAGTGTCATAAAATTTACTATGTTCATTTGACAATTGTAATGTTGTTTTAAAGTTATAATGAGTAACTTACTAAGTGCTCTGAAGTATTTACTGTAAAAGTAACAGATTCATAAATGGCAGCATGCCACTACTAAGTCTTTGTGACACAGGGGGAGACTACTGATTTTGGGGTCAATTACAATCTGCATATGAGCAAATGTGTAAATTAACAAGGTTCAATTGACTAATGAAGCCTAGGGCATAGCCTTATGTAGAGTTTTTGGTTATTTTATTCCCTCAAAGAAGTACAATGATTCTCCTTAAAAGCCAAGTTTTTACCCAAGACTTTTATTGTCCCACCTTTAGTAATTGAAGCCCATTAAGTCCAAAAGTGTGGAAGGATCAAGAGGACTTTCTATAATCCCAGGGCACTGTGTACCGAAAGGAAATGTTTTCAAAAGGCACAAACGGCAATTAGGAGCCCACTAACCGATATGTCTAAAATGCTAGGAAGCAGAATGCTTGATATGTGATAGCAAATGTTAGGATGTGAAAATACCATGGAAGAAGTAAACCCTTCTGCAAAAGAGCACCAGACTTCAATGCAAGTTTTTCCCTACCTAAAGGCTGCAAAAATCAGGCCCATTATCTTCATGCTGCTCCTGCACAAGCAGTTACTGCCAAATACAAGACACCCATGAGACTGTGTTGTGCTACCAGCTAAACCAAAGTAAGCACAAAAATATAGAATAACTTGACCATGTTTAAATTCTTTATTACGGTGGGTTTTTAAATGTATCTTTTTCTCTGACTATTTTAGAATAGCTGAGTTCATTTATAAGAGATAATTCCTTTTTAAAAAATGTTTAAAATACGCCTATGGCAAAACATTAACAATGGGCCTATATAACGCCTCAAGAATTCAAACTGTTGTATCTTTATGTTCAGGTTAACCCACTTTTTGCATTTTCAATAAATATGTTACATAAGAACATAAGAACGGCCGTACCGGGTCAGACCAAAGGTCCATCTAACCCAATATCCTGTCTACCGACAGTGGCCAATGCCAGGTGCCCCAGAGGGAGTGAACCTAACAGGCAATGATCAAGTGATCTCTCTCCTGCCATCCATCTCCACCCTCTGACAAACAGAGGCTAGGGACACCATTCCTTACCCATTGTGGCTAATAGCCGTTAATGGACTTAACCACCATGAATTTATCCAGTTCTCTTTTAAACGCCGTTATAGTCCTAGCCTTCACAACCTCCTCAGGTAAGGAGTTCCACAAGTTGACTGTGCGCTGCGTGAAGAAGAACTTGTATTTGTTTTAAACCTGCTGCCTATTAATTTCATTTGGTGACCCCTAGTTCTTGTATTATGGGAATAAGTAAATAACTTTTCCTTATCCACTTTCTCCACATCACTCATGATTTTATATACCTCTATCATATCCCCCCTTAGTCTCCTCTTTTCCAAGCTGAAGAGTCCTAGCCTCTTTAATCTCTCCTCATATGGGACGCGTTCCAAACCCCTAATCATTTTAGTTGCCCTTTTCTGAAGCTTTTCTAGTGCCAATATATCTTTTTTGAGATGAGGAGACCACATCTGTACGCAGTATTCGAGATGTGGGCGCACCATCAATTTATATAAGGGCAATAATATATTCTCCGTCTTATTCTCTATCTCCTTTTTAATGATTCCTAACATCCTGTTTGCTTTTTTGACCGCCTCTGCACACTGTGTGGACATCTTCAGAGAACTATCCACGATGACTCCAAGATCTCTTTCCTGACTTCTTGTAGCTAAATTAGCCCCCATCATATTGTATGTATAGTTGGGGTTATTTTTTCCAAAGTGCATTACTTTACATTTATCCACATTAAATTTCATTTGCCATTTTGTTGCCCAATCACTTAGTTTTGTGAGATCTTTTTGAACTTCTTCACAGTCTGCTTTGGTCTTAACTATCTTGAGCAGTTTAGTATCATCTGCAAACTTTGCCACCTCACTGTTTACCCTTTTCCCCAGATCATTTATGAATAAGTTGAATAGGATTGGTCGAGGACTGACCCTTGGGGAACACCACTAGTTACCCCTCTCCATTCTGAGAATTTACCATTTATTCCTACCCTTTGTTCCCTGTCTTTTAACCAGTTCTCAATCCATGAAAGGACCTTCCCTTTTATCCCATGACAGCTTAATTTACATAAGAGCCTTTGGTGAGGGACCTTGTCAAAAGCTTTCTGGAAATCTAAGTACACTATGTCTACTGGATTCCCCCTTGTCCACATGTTTGTTGACCCCTTCAAAGAACTCTAATAGATTAGTAAGACATGATTTCCCTTTACAGAAAGCATATTGACTATTGCTCAACAGTTTATGTTTTTCTATGTGTCTGACAATTTTATTCTTAACTATTGTTTCGACTAATTTGCCCGGTACCGACGTTAGACTTACCGGTCCGTAATTGCCGGGATCACCTCTAGAGCCCTTTTTAAATATTGGCGTTACATTAGCTAACTTCCAGTCATTGGGTACAGAAGCCGATTTAAAGGACAGGTTACAAACCTTAGTTAATAGTTCCGCAACTTCACATTTGAGTTCTTTCAGAACTCTTGGGTGAATGCCATCTGGTCCCGGTGACTTGTTAATGTTAAGTTTATCAATTAATTCCAAAACCTCCTCTAGTGACACTTTAATCTATGACAGTTCCTCAGATTTGTCACCTACAAAAGCCGGCTCAGGTTTGGGAATCTCCCTAACATCCTCAGCCGTGAAGACTGAAGCAAAGAATCTATTTAGTTTCTCCGCAATGACTTTATCGTCTTTAAGCGCTCCTTTTGTATCTCGATCATCAAGGGTCCCCACTGGTTGTTTAGCAGGCTTCCTGCTTCTGATGTACTTAAAAAACATTTTGTTATTACCTTTGGAGTTTTTGGTTAGCCGTTCTTCAAACTCCTCTTTGGCTTTTGTTATTACATTCTTGCACTTAATTTGGCAGTGTTTATGCTCCTTTCTGTTTGCCTCACTAGGATTTGGCTTCCACTTTTTAAAGGAAGTCTTTTTATCTCTCACTGTTTCTTTTACATGATTGTTAAGCCACGGTGGCTCTTTTTTAGTTCTTTTACTGTGTTTCTTAATTTGGGGTATACATTGAAGTTGGGCCTCTATTATGGGGTCTTTAAAAAGCGCCCATACAGCTTGCAGGGATTTCACTTTAGTCACTGTACCTTTTAACTTCTGTTTAACTAACCCCCTCATTTTTGCATAGTTCCCCCTTTTGAAATTAAATGCCACAGTGTTGGGCTGTTGAGATGTTCTTCTCACCACAGGGATGTTGAATGCTATTGTATTATGGTCACTATTTCCAAGCGGTCCTGTTATAGTTACCTCTTGGACCAGCTCCTGCGCTCCACTCAGGACTAAATCTAGAGTTGGCTCTCCCCTTGTGGGTTCCCGTACCAGCTGCTCCATGAAGCAGTCATTTAAAGTATCGAGAAATCTTATCTCTGCATTTCGTCCTGAAGTGAAATGTTCCCAGTCAATATGGGGATAATTGAAATCCCCCACTATTATTAAGTTCTTAATTTTGATAGCCTCTCTAATTTCCCTTAGCATTTCATCATCACTATCACTGTCCTGGTCAGGTGGTCGATAATAGATCCCTAATGTTATATTCTTATTAGAGCATGAAATTTCTATCCATAGAGATTCCATGGAACATGTGGATTCACTTAAGATTTTTACTTCATTTGATTCTACGTTTTCTTTCACATATAGTGCCACTCCCCCCCCACCCCAGCACGACCTGTTCTGTCCTTCCGATATATTTTGTACCCCGGAATGATTGTGTCCCATTGATTGCTCTCAATCCACCAGGTTTCTGTGATGCCTATTATATCGATATCCTCCATTATCACAAGGCACTCTAGTTCACCCATCTTATTATTTAGACTTCTAGCATTTGTGTACAAGCACTTTAAAAACTTGTCACTGTTTATTTGTCTGCCCTTTTCTGATTTGTCAGATTCTTTTTTATGTGAATGTTTATCATCTGATCTGGCCCTTACATTATCCTCTTCCATCCTCTGCTCCTGACTATAACCTGGAGATTCTCTATAATTCTCTATCATTTGTTAAATAACTACAGTTCAGTGTCATACTCACCAACTGGAGATTTAGTCATACCCATCAAGTCTTGCCATGGAGATGTTATGTGAAGACGCTTTGATTTTTCTCCAGGTGCAACCTGAAAAACCCACAGAACTTATTTAGTAATTTATGTTTATATTACAGTAGCACTCAGGCCCCATTCAGGATTGTGGTCCCATTGTGCTAGGCACTGCACAAAAGACATAAACCATACCCTGAAGAGCTCAGTAAAACAGGGAGGAAAAAGTTCTATTTAAGATTTGCTTTTGCTTCAATTATAGTTGCAGTATGTTTTATTAGACAAAGCAACAGATAAAAACTTGAGAAAAAGGATATTTGGCAAAATATTCAAAAACTTACATGACATTTATAATTTCTAAATTAAGCATAAAGTTTGCATTTCTTTCCTAAATATTTAAATTTACTTCCATTTATAAAACACATACCTGAACACTCTAGGCACATCTGACAAATACAATAAATTTAAAAAAACCCTGCAGCCCCATAATGTAAAACACTACTACATAACCAGACAGCTCCCCACTTCCTCCAATTTCTTATTTTCCATGAACATCAAGCCTAAAAATATTTGCTTCTTGAGAAAGTCAATTAAGATGCATAAGTTAGCCTTTAGCACGGCAGGCAAATAACGTATAATGGGAAAGAATAGTTAAATGATGTTTGTTCAGTTTCTTTGATTCATCTCACAATGTTTCAAAGCTAACAGGGCAATGCTTTCCACAATGGGCAAAAGCCAGCGCTTCCTACTCCACCAGAAAAGGCAATAAAAATTCAAGTGACAAGCAGCAAAGAAAAGTATTTTGGTGGTCTTTGTGATGCAATTCTAATAAAAAGTCCACTACTATTGCATATTGGTCACTGTATCCTATGCTGAAAGAAAAAAAATCAGGGATACTGAAGACAATATTTGAGAGTTTGAAGGAATGTTACACAAAGGAGCTAGTTCAGTGATGAACGTACCTGACATATACTGAGACTGTCTTTGTTCAGCAGCCAAAAATAGGGCTTAATAAACCAAGATAGCTAATTCTAGGGACATACCACTGGTCTCCAACCCAATAGGAAGAAAACAAATTTGAATATGACCCTTACTGGTATACGGACTCACAAGTTTGCTTTAAACTGACGAACAATTCAAATTTTTATAAGTGAATAAGATGTTCCATCTTCAAGAAACTCACCCTATTTTTCACTAAGAAGTTCTCACAGATTTGGATTGCCCCAGCCAAGGCACACCAAGCAACGGTTTGGCTAGTAGTTTAAAGATACCAGTTTTAAGTAGTGAATTAATTCTAACAAACCCAAGCAGATGCATTACCATAATCCATTTAGGGATGTTTCTTTCATCATCTTGTACTATCACATCCACACGAACTCTAACTTTCTCTCTCATTTCCAGCTCAGAAGGGTTTACAAGTAGAATGTCCTCCTTTTATTCACAGAAACAAAAACATGTCAAATGCAACATCCACAACAAAAAATGTTTACACAGTAACAAGTTAGTAATAGAAAACTTCACACAATACATATTCAAATCATAGGTATTTCAAACTTGAAGAAAAACAAGTAAAAGATTGGTTAAAACAGAACACTATAAATACTAACCAATAAAGACATGCCCAATCAGGTCATTGCATTTCAAGTAAATGATGTTTATACTGGAAGCCAGACAGAGAGCAGTATAAAATGCTCAGTAACTATAATCTAACTTTTCAATTATATATATTCTCTGTTTTAAGGAAAAATATGAAACTGTGTTCACATTAGATGCATGTATAAATAGCTATAGGAAACAAGAAATTCACAGTCACTTCCTAAGACCTCACAAGTACACATGGCTCCAAACAGAGGAATAGCCTAACTAGAAGCCAATACACTTCCACTACTTTCCAGCTGAAGTATTCCAGCAGACCTTCTTCACCTTTAATTTATTTTTAAATAGAAGTCTCATAATAATTTATGGAAAGATACTGTCTTCTCATAGCTATACATCACTGACTAGTTGGGTGATCCTAGGCAAGTCAACCTCTGTGCCTCAGAGTCCCATCTGTAAAAAAGGTTAATAATACTTCAAAATATTCTGAGACAAAATTTTGTAAAGTACTGAGATCCTTGGATGCAAATAACAAAAATGCTAACTATTGTATAATAATAAATGAGATGCAAATAATAATCCATACTCCTACATAAAAGGGAGATTTGTCTCCACTCTTAACTCTACTTAACTCTAGATTCTCTGGCCTTCTCAGTGTTAATATGTGCCTTTACCAAAAACATAGGAATTGCCATCCTGGATCAGACATGAGATCCACCTAGTCCACTTTCCTATCTTTGACAGTGGCCAACAGTAGATGCATCACAGAAAAGTGTCAGAACCCCATAGTTGGCATGTAGAGCCATCTGCACCCCTGCATTAGATCTTAGAATCATAGAACTGGAAGGACCTCGAGAGGTCATCTAGTCCAGTCCCCTGCACTCAAGGCAGGACTAAGTATTATCTAGACCATCCCTGACAGGTGTTTGTCCAACCTGCTCTTAAAAATCTCCAATGACAGAGATTCCACAACCTCCCTAGGCAATTTATTCCAGTGCTTAACCACTCTGAGAGTTAGGAAGTTTTCCTAATGTTCAACCTAAACTGCCCTTGCTGCAATTTAAGCCCATTGCTTCTTGTCCTATCCTCAGAGGTTAAGAACAACAATTTTTCTCCCCCCTCCTTGTAACAACCTTTTATGTACTTGAAAACTGTTATGTTCCCTTCTCAGTCTTCTCTTCTCCAGATTAAACAAACCCAATTTTTTTCAATCTTCCCTCATAGGTCATGTTTTCTAGACCTTTAATCATTTTTGTTGCTCTTCTCTGGACTTTCTCCGATTTGTCCACATCTTTCCTGAAATGTGGCACCCAGAACTGGACACAATACTCCCGTTGAGGCCTATCAGCACGGAGTAGAGAGGAAGAATTACTTCTCATGTCTTGCTTACAATATTCCTGCTAATACATCCCAGAATGATGTTTGCTTTTTCTGCAACAACATTACACTGTTGACTCATATTTAGCTTGTGATCCACTATGACCCCCAGATCCCTCCTTCCTAGGCACTCATTTCCCATTTTGTATGGGTGCAACTGATTGTTCCTTCCTAAGTGGAGTACTTTGCATTTGTCCTTCTTGAATTTCATCCTATTTACTTCAGACCATTTCTCCAGTTTGTCCAGATCATTTGGAATTTTAATATTATCCTCCAAAGCACTTGCAACCCCGCCCTGCTTGGTATCGTCCGCAAATTTTATAGGTGTACTCTCTATGCCATTATCTAAATCATTGATGAAGATATTGAACAGAGCCAGACCCAGAACCGACCCCTGCAGGACCCCACTCGTTATGCCCTTCCAGCATGACTGTGAACCATTGAGGATTACTCTATGGGAATGATTTTCCAACCAGTTATGCACCCACCTCCACCTGGGTTGTATTTCCCTAGTTTGTTAATGAGAAGGTCTTGCGAGAGAGTATCAAAAGCCTTACTAAAGTCAAGATATACCACATCTACCACTTCTCCCCTATCCACAAGGCTTGTTACCCTGTCAAAGTAAGCTATCAGGTTGGTTTGACAACATTTGTTCTTGACAAATCCATGCTGACTGTTATTTATCTTCTAGGTGTTTGCAAACTGATTGCTTAATTATTTGCTCCATTATCTTTCCAGGTACAGAAGTTAAGCTGACTAGTCTGTAATTCCCCGGGTTGTCCTTATTTCCCTTTTTATAGATGGGCACCATATTTGACCTTTTCCAATCTTCTGGACTGTCTCCCGTCTGGAATGTCTTATCCTGGTCTCTAACAGTTAAAGACTGGCTTATGCATTGAGGCATATGATTTAACATGCCTTCAAACTTTTTGATTTTTAAAACAACTCCAGATTGTATATGGATAGCAAAACTCTCTCTTTTTGATTTTGCTAAATTCTTGGCCTCAGCCCTGTGACCATCAAATGGCCCTTTGTTCTTGTGTTAAGAGACAAGGAAAACTAATTCCTGATCTATTGCTTCTTTACAATTCATTATTTTATATACTTTTATCACACCCACCCCCTTACTCAACTCCTTTCTAATGTGAACAATCCCCATCTGTTTAATCTTGTCAGATGAGTTTTTCATGCCCTTGATCTGAACCCACTAATTCTGCAACATCCTTTCATTGCCAATCTCTGAACTCACTAATTCTGCAATATCCTTTTAGAGATACTAGTGACCAGTACTGCATACAATATTTCAGATGAGGCCACACCATTTATTTATATTCTCCATCTCACTCCTTATGTATCTTAACATCACTTGCTGTTTTGACTGCTGCTGTGCATTGACCTGAAGTCTTCACTGAGTTGTCTGACACTCCTGTCCCTTTCCTGAGTCAACAATAACTTCAGAAACCTGTAAAATGTTCTGAATAGTTCAATTCCCCCTGCCCCATCCAAGGTATATTACTTTACATTTATCAACACTGAACTTAATTTGCCATCATATTGCTTGTTTAGGTCTCTCTGAAATTCTTTGCAGTCTTCTCTGGGACTAGAAACCCTAAACAACAGCTTATATGAAATGGCTTCGTTTGCATCAGTCCAGATCACAAATGCACTGAAAGTGTTTAATACAGGTCTGTCTCATCTTACGCAGGGGTTCTGTTCCGCGGTTAGCGCGTAAAGCCAAAATTCCATTGAGTTCAATGGCGGGCAAAATCGCCTGCACTACAGGTATAGTATTAAAATTGTTATTTTTCTCTTTTTTTTGTTTTGTTTTTGCCGACTGCGTAAAGTTGAAATCACGCATGTTAAATGCGCGTAAGATGCGACAGAGCTGTAATATTAATCAATACCCTTGTAAGCAGTCTCAGGTCTGAACAAGGATGGAAAATGAATCTCCCTCCCACATCTACAGTTGGTCACTAGCACCAAAGAGGTGTATAGGCAACACAGTGGAGAACAATAGGAGAAAGTTGTATTAGTACAGTGCTTGCTGTTGGCTGTGCTGTAATTGACCTGTGGATGAACAGGAATTAAGAGTTTGTGGCTTTCTGTCAGTCCAGAACTTGTCACCTACACAAAATCCACATGAAAATATTTTAAATTAAAAAATCCAGCCTCTTAAAGTGAATGCAAAAGGTATAAAGCAGAATTGTTTTTACCTTGAGGTTAACATTTTCAAATTTTCTTCTAATCGAAACCAAATCAGCTTCGCTTTCTGTATCTACAATTTGAAGTTAAACACTAAGTAAATCCCAATTCATCCAAAACCAATGTAATAAATTTGTATTTCTGTGAATTATTTTAAACTGACACTGTGAAGACCAAACTGCCCAAAAAATTACATCTTGAAAAAAATACATTTTTACAAAATCCTGAAGAAATATGTTCCTGTGTTATATTTTTAATTTAAATCTCATTGAAAGTCAGCGGGCTCCGAAGCACGTAAGTCACTTTTGAAAAATGGCGTAACCAGAGCTCTTTGAGATGGACTATGTATATCCAGACTCATGGGATGTGCTGGACAATGTAACTCAAATGGTGGAACTTTCTCACAGGAGTGACTGTTAGAGAGCTCACATGCCCCTCCACCCCACTGTTTATTCCCAAATGTTCCAAGGGCAAGACTATTAAAGGGGGCATGGTGACCTCTGCAGCCTTAATTCCTTCCATGGTTTCCTCAGTCAATATTTCATTAGGACTCTGAAGAGGACAGGAAGGTTGGCAAGGAGCGTGAATATGCAGAGTCCATCTCAAACAACTCCGGTTAGAGGTAAGTAAACTCTGTTTTTCTTCCTTCAAATGTCCTCTGCATATTCCCACTCAAGGGCACTCAATACCCTGTTCAGGGAACATCAAACAAGTCTCTAACCTTGCTTTCTCAGGTGGAGAGTTGTGAGACGTGCAAGAACTTTTTCCCCCCCACTTCCCTTCTAGGCAATGTAACTTGCAGATCCGGGAAATGATCTGACTGTGAACCTATGTGATGCACTTGATCTAAAACCATGACAGAAGAAGCTGAGAGTACTGGTGATGAGGCTATCACCACTTCCGGAACTTTCTTTAGATCCAATGCAATCCTCTGAGCTGGGGGATCCTTAGATATACCGATTTGCAGGGTGGATAAAAAAATCAATGATTTTTTTTTTGTTTTTTAAATCAGATTTTTTTTTATAAAATGCTTTTTGAGGAGAAAACCTATCTAAAGATAGTTTTAATTAAGATACATAATAGCTCTAAGATATCTCATCATGGAATAGAGATTATAAATTCTAATTCTATAGTATGAGACAATATATTCATGTAATGTTAAGAAAAGTTTTGTAAATGAGTTCCAATAATTTATGGATTAGGGACCCAATCTTATGGGGTTTGACAGGCGTCTGTGGAGATTATTTAGGTTAATCCTTCTATCTACCCAATGGGACTCAGTGCTCAGTCTAGAAGATACCATCAGAGATGCTTAGTTTTACAGTTCTCAAACCGTGGATTAGTGTCTCCAGAGGTAACATGCTTGTTAACAGCAAAAATGTTTTTAAATAAATAAATATGTAGAGGTGAGAAATAACAGACCTCAACTCTATTGTCCCTCTGCAAATTTGTGTACACAGAGTCAATCGCTTACTCTCTCTAAAAGTGAAAAGTTTCAAAAAGTTCAATGAATAGAAAGATTGGTGGGGGTGGAATAGGTCTGGACAAGGAAAAGAAGTCTGGAGATAAATGTACGAAGCGAGGGACATATACTTGTTTTGTTAAAATATTATACATACATAACATTGTTTTAGTTAACTAAAACAATGTTAAGGTCTGTCTGGTGATGTTCTCCTCCTAATACAGCATGGCAAGAAAATCCTCCAAATATTAATGATTAACCTGTTGAATTGGAGCTAGTTCACCACCCAATGACTTCATAAATATCTGCTTCAATTAACTTTGGTAAATGAAATAACCAAACAATCATTCATTTTCTGATATAGCTGTAAAACTAATCTGAAAAGGTTTCAAAATAAATCACGGTTTAAAAATGTATATTGTGTACCTTCTAAAAATGAAACCTACATCTATCTCTGAGTTGCGAAGAATATGTATTAAGGTTATAACAACCAACAAGAATGCACTTTTATGTAGAAAACCATGATTAAATTGAGTCTTCCTGACTAGCGATTTAAATTATTTAAATCAATTTGATTTAAATCAAATCCACCCTGCCCATTTGAAAACCTAGCTTTTGATTTGGAATCCATTATTCTATGATCCTGCTCAAATGGATCTGAGGAGTGTGGGTCTCTCTCTCCCTCAGTTAGTCCTGGTAACAGAAGTCTTTTTGTCCCATACTACCTTCTTTGGAACCAAGACAGACAGTTTCCCTGTCTGCCTCTCTCACACAGGGCTGTGAAGTAAGAGCTTCAAAGTTGAATCCGGTGATTTAGGAGCCAACTGCAAAGCAGTTTTGTCACTGGATCCCAGGGCTGAACCCAGTGTTTTTTGCATTGTGGTCTTCTGAGAGCCAAAACTTTCCAGCATCAATACTGGTCTTTTTGCATTATCATCAGATCCCTTTGTGGTGTCGGATCTGAGAAGCTTAGCTATTAAAGCTTTTTGAAGCAATAGGTCTTAGTCTGCTGTTGCACTCCTTGCATGCTCTCAGGGTAAGTGTACTGCAGACAAAGTATTCTGAAGAAGAATGACTCTCTCCACGACATACCAATCATTTAGTATGGACATCCGATGCCAGGAAGACTGCTAGACACTTTAAAGCCAAGTATCTTTGCCTTTGGATACACCATGGAACCAGTAGTCAGAACCAAAGTCTCTATAAAGTTCACTAAGAACAAAACTTTCCTTAAATCATAAACTTAAGCCAAGACTAACACCAACTATAAAGCAGTAAACTACCCAAAGCTAAAGCACTATAATCATCTAAGTGAAGGATCTAGATTAATGAAGGTTTACATCCATCTGATGCTGCAGTTGGAAAGAACTGCGTCTGCAGAGGGTGCCATGCCCCCTTTTAAAGCCTTGCTCTCAGAACACATGAGAGAACGCAGATGAGTAGGAGGCGGCATGAATGCTTTAACAGGCCTTGCTATAAGAAGTTTCCACCATCTGAGCTACAGTAGCCATAAGATCCCATGAGTACAAATATGCTGAGGAGAGACAGATAAGGACATTTAAAAAAACTAATGTGACTGTCTGTTTAATTGTCAGAAATGTCTCATCTTGAAATAGTTGTTTTCCATTGATAGATAAATGCAGAGGGGCATTTTAAGAGATATGCTATGACATGCTTATGGATAGAGCCCTACCAAATTCACGGACATGAAAAATGCTTCATGGACTGTGAAATCTGGTCTCCTCCCATGAATTCTGGTCTTTTGTGTGATTTTACCCTATACTATACAGATTTCACAGGGGAGACCAGTGTTTCTCAAATTGGGGGTCCTGACCCAAAAGGTTGTGCAGAGGGATCACAAGATTATTTTAGGGGTGAGGGCGCACGATTTTGCCACCCTTACTTCTGCGCTCCCGTCAGAGCTGGGTGGCAGGAGAGCAGCAGCTGGTGACCAGGCGCCCAGTTCTGAAGGCAGTGCCCCACCAGCAGCAGCAGCACAGAAGTAAGGATGGTAATACCATACCATGCCACCTTTACTTCTGCGCTGCTGCCTTCAGAGCTGGGCGGCCAGAGAGTCGTGGCTGCTGACTGAGGGCCCAGCTCTGTAGGTGGCAGCTCTGCCTTCAGAGCTGGGCTCCTGGCCAGCAACTGCCACTCTCCAGCTGCCCAGCTCTGAAGGCAGCACTGCCACCAGCAGCAGTACAGAAGTAAGGGTAGCAGTACCACAACCCTCCCTACAATAACCTCGCGACTCCCTCACCACACACAACTACTTTTTGGGTCAGGACCCTACAATTACAACACTGTGAAATTTCAGATTTGAATAGCTGAAACCATGAAATGTATGATTTTTAAAAACCTATGACCGTGAAATTGACCAAAATGGACCATGAATTTGATAGGACCCTACTTATGGAGAAGTTTCATTTTCAATAATTATACCAAAGAGATTATGTACCAACTAATCAGACTGCTGCACTGGGATATGAGTTATAAGTAGAACATTACCAACCATTACCTTACTCAAAGGCACAAATCTTACTCTTACAGATAGAAAAAAATCTCCTCTGAAGTATACAAGTTGTGTAATGCCATTCAGAACACAGCTATTTGAAGACAACAGTATTAATAAAAGTGTCATGATCAATTAATAAGTCAGTCAGGAATACAAAACATTTTCAAAAGTTTGAAATGGAGACTGACAACAGTTGCAGGAGTCCTGGTCTCTCTTGCAGACACATCATCATGATGGCTCAGTTCAATGACTTCACTTGCATGTCCATTAAAATTACTCCCCGTGCCTTTCTGGTACAAACCTCTTAGGCACTATGGTGATACACACAAACCAAACAAAAAAATAATAATAAACCACTCATCTCTACTTTGCAGTACAAGTCTTCATTCTTTCTCCCCCTTTTGATTTATAGAAATGGCAAAAGGATGCAAATGAACCTATTTCAGACGTAGAGAGACAATGTGGGTAAGGTAATATCTTTTATTATAACTTCTGTTGGTGAGAGAGACACAAGCTTTCGAGCTTACATAGAGCTCTTCTTGCTTGCCATACCAGTCACTTCTGTGCTGGAGTCTAATCAAGAACACGAATATTGCACTGGTCAGCATTAGCAATGTCTCATATGGTCCCTAGTCAATACTTCAGCTACAACATAATAAGAGTGTAAAAAGCAGACCCAGATTAAAACCACCATTTTAATTATTTTGGAAAAATGGCAACTAGCAGGACTTCCATGCATTTTAAATTAATAAATACTAATGGCAAGTATAATAACTTTATTGAAATCTTACCTGTGTCAGCAACTTGAATCTCTTCATAGGAGTCTATAAAGGATTTTCTAGCAAGTTCCTGAAAATAAAAACACCATGAACAAAGTCACAAGAACTAGCAGCAGTTTAGCTCTAATAATCTGGACTACTCAAATTCCCTTTGCCATTAGTTCCACTGTTACTGCTGGAAAGCCCAATTCTCTTGTGAAAATGACTATGTCAAAATGGCATCTTAATCAACAAAACTGCTCCTAAAGCCTATTCTTGACTCTCAGCTGAATACTCAGTTTTTTACTACTTTTTACTCCTTTTATTCACGGAGAGCCAACATAACAGTGAAAGGAAGCTAGTGTGTACTCGGTTTTTTTATTTGCCTTTAAAATATACAATAAAATATACAAGTTGCCCAAAATGAATGATTAACATTCTTAAATGTTAGGGGGAGAGATTTTCAAGGGAACAATCTAACAGCACAACAATGATATAGTGATGGGGATCAGATAGATTAGTTTAATAGAATAGCTAAAAGAATTTTGATTGCTGTATCTTTACTGTAGGTAATCTATGAGCCAAAAAAAAAAATCCAGTTTGAGCATCAAATTCCATGTTGAGTTTGTAGACCTGGCAATTAGGGGAAACAAACATACTTATAAACTGAGTACATTTCATCTGGTGTCATGCAGAGACAACAAATCTTCAACATCACAATGTTATTCTTGGAGTAGAATCAAGAGCAGAGCCACCTAGTTTCAAAGTAGTACCACACTTGAAGTTACTTAACTACAAAGGTTTTTTAAAGTGTTTATATGAAGGCTGCCTTGCAAAATGGTCATGGAAGTTTACCAGCTGAGAAAAAAAGTTTATTCCCTCATCCTCTATTATGAAAAGGATAATGAAAAGAACAGAGATCATATTTTCCTGTCAATTACAGTTGCGTGCCACAGGAAAACAGAAATTTGCAAGACTGATTAACTTACTTTACTGCAGATACTATTACATTATAGAGAGAGTCAAATGAAGTTTTCTACTTACACAAAGAAAGGGACTGGTTACACTGCTCTACAGCCAAAATGCTTCTGAAATAAATGTAGTCAACCTTTACTAATTCTGGGTCACTGAGAACGAAAATGATGCTTAAAATTGTTGATTGGCTCTAGTTTTCAAGATATGCTATTGGGTCAGTATATACGACCCTTGACTTGGGAATGGCGGAGGATAAGTGAGTTATAAAGGGAAGGGATCTCAATTTAAACCAGAAATGACTAAAATACATCTTTGACTGGATCTATGAATAAATCTATGACTGGGTTTGGACAGTACTTGCTTTTTAGGCAAAACAATGAATGATGCAATCTGAAGCTGGTATTGCGTCATACATGATATGAATTGCATCATGTTATTTCTAGAAGTCATGGATGATGCAATCATAACGAAGCTTACATCACTCTGCTGAACAAATTGCCCTATATCAGCTCTAGAAATCATACAGTGTCGTGCTCTCTTATTTGTCAGTGTTTGATTTTGCAAAGGGACACATTTCTGTTTAGCCAAAGTGAGCAGAGATGCCTCGTACTTGTGTGAACACTGCAGATAACTTCTGCTATGTTTGTGGTGAAGTGACTTTTGCATCCCAAAAGCGCAGTATAACCACTATGGTTAAGAAAGCCTATCACCTTTATTTTGGCTGCAAAATTGGAGATCAGGACAAGAGGTGGGCCCCACACATATGCTGCAACACTTGTGCAACAAATCTTCGCCAGTGGTTGAACAGGAAAAGGAAATCTATGCCTTTTGCAGTGCCAATGATTTGGAGAGAGCCAACAGATCATACCAGCAATTGTTACTTCTGCATGGTGCCTCCAGTGGGGAAAGGTGTGTCAAAGAAGACAAAGTGGACTGTGCATTATCCAAACATTCCATCAGCTATACGCCCAGTACGCCACGGAGAAGCACTGCCGGTTCCTGATGCACCAGAATCATTCTCACTTGAGTCAGACGAGGAAGAGGAAGAGGAAGAGGATGAAACTTCTGGTCCTGAACCATCAATGTCACAGGACCCACATTTTCTCCCATCCTCCTCCTCTGAACCACACCTCATAACACAAGGTGAACTGAATGACCTTGTCAGGGATTTGGAACTACCCAAGAGAGTAAGGCAGAGCTGTTGGGCTCCAGACTACAGCAGTGGAATCTCCTGGCAGGTGATGTTAGGGTTTCCATGTTCCGTGACCGTCAAAAGGATCTTGTCCCATTCTTCTTCATGGAAGGTGATCCTGTAGCCTGCAACAACATCGATGGTGTGATGGCAGCCCTCAACATCGTTCACGATCCAGATGAGTGGAGACTGTTCATTGATTCATCGAAGACGAGTCTTAAAGCTGTTTTACTGCATAATGGCAATGTTTTGCCATCAATTCCAGTTGGTCATGCAGTCCATATGAAGGAAACCTATGACAACATGAAACAACTTTTGAGGTGCATAAACTATGACCAACATCAGTGACAGCTTTGTGGCGATTTGAAGGCTGTTGCTCTCTTGCTTGGTCTGCAGACTGGATACACAAAGTACTGCTGTTTTCTCTGCGAATGGGATAGTCGTGCAAGAGATTCCCACTACATCAAGAAAGATTGGCCACTCCGACAGTCATTGGAGCCTGGGAGGAAAAGTGTTCAGCATCCACCACTTGTTGAATCAAGGAAGATTTTGTTACCACCCTTACACATCAAGCTGGGTCTGATGAAGAACTTTGTCAAGGCCATTGACAAAACACAAGCAGCTTTCAAGTACCTCCGTGGAAAATTTCCAAGGTTAAGTGAAGCTAAGATAAAGGAAGGTGTCTTTGTTGGTCCTCAGATTCGTGAACTTCTTCGAGATGATGCATTTGACCATGCACTGCGTGGCAAGGAAAAGACGGCCTGGAAAGCGTTCCAGATAGTGGCAATAAATTTTCTCGGAAACAACAAGGCAGACAACTATAGGTTGTTGGTGGAAAACCTCCTCAAGGCATACAAAAGCCTTGGTTGCAACATGTCACTAAAGATACATTTTTTTGCACTCTCGTCTAGATTTTTTTCCACCGAACTGCGGAGCAGTGAGCGACGAGCACGGCGAGCGATTTCACCAGGACATTGCAACAATGGAGAAACGCTATCAGGGCAAATGGAGCCCATCAATGCTTGCAGACTATTGCTGGACAGTGACAAGATATGCTCCATTTAATGAATACAAGAGACAAGCCAAGAAGCGCCGAGTAGACACTGAATAGGACTAAACTATGTACATAATAGTTTTTTGCCTTTTGTTTCATAATAAATTTTATTTATATAACCCTTTTGCTGATTTTTAAAGTGTTACATAAACAGGACAGGTGAAATATTCTCATGTAAAGCAACCATAAACACATGAAAAGACCTAGGTTTACAATTTATGATTAAAACTCTACTATCTACACAGTATACATAGACATAAAATGTAAAAACTTAAATATCTTAGAAACAGTAGCCAGTTGTTTTAATTGTCATATTTGAATTCAGCACATCAAAATACATAATAAATAGCACATTTTATCTCTGAAGCAGATGACTTCTCAAAAATTGTAGACCAGTGTTATCTGCAACTGGTTTTCTTAACACTCTATTAATATTCCCCAGAATGTAGGGGTTTGATCCTGCACCCAATGAAATAATTGGAGTCAACGGCAATAAATCACAATGTATGCAGATGAGGCTCTTAACGGTTTACGAAAAAGGTTTCAGTAGAGAAAATTTCAGAGTCAATTTTTTAGTAACTTTTTACAATTCAATGCAAAAGGTACGGATACAGACAAATAGCTTTTTCTACATGTTTTCAATTGACATCTTGCAACGAGGTTCTTAAAGAACTCTGGTAAAACAAATCTAAATACTATTTTTCTACCTAATTCAAAAATGCACTTTGGACTGAAGACAACAGCAAAATGCAGATAGACAAAAAACTTTCAGGAACTTGAGACAAATAACTAGAAAAACAACGTCATTACTTAAAGGGTGCAACAAACCCATGAAGCCTGCCACACTGAATTTCAGGTACTGTTTCACATTTGATCCTGAGAAGGAGCAAGTCCCCAAAGCAACTAACCCTTAAAAAGCCCGTAGAGTTTACAACTGAAAACACCTTAAACATAAGTAAGGTTAAAAAAAAAACCTGTCTTCAATTGGAAAAAACAACAACCACCCCATCTGTAGGTTTCAAAGCCCACAAGAAATAGCTCTTTCATTTTAGATTAATTTAAAACAGAGGCTGGGATTCAGCAGATGTTCATAGATCCACAGCACAGTAGGGAGGAGATAATCACATGATGGACAAAGATAGTTATAGAAGACATAATACAAAAGACTATTTCTATACAGCCTTTCATATAAACAACATGCATTTCTCTATAAAAAGTGAAATAAAAATACAACTGTCAATATGTGCAGTATAAGAGGAAAGAAGATTATAGTACACTTTTAAAAACAGTGGGAACAGGCTTAAAAAACTCCCACCCCATTTTAGAACAATGGTGACCAATACCAAGGTCCAAATATAATTTCCCAATATTGTTGAGAGCTATAACCAGAGAAAAAGATGATAACTGCTCTAAGGACCATACTGCTCACTGGCTTTCCTGCTTCATCCTACCCATAAAAGCCTCAGCCTGCCAGATGACTTAAGCTTAGCAGGATTCAGTCGTCAGTAAACACTGATGTCACCTGACACACAGAAATGGCTGAAAAACATATCCATCCATTGCAGTTAGCAAATGAAGTCTCCCCCACACCTTATGCCCATAGGGTCCAGTATCCCAGCCCCACAGGAAGCTCTCTGCAGCCCTGCTGTTACAGTCCCACTCACTCATTCACCAGCTGGGAGTGTGGGGGCCATCCGTGAGGAGGAGCTGTTCAGCAGCAGGGTGGCCTCCTTGCAGTCAGGGGCTTGCTCTCCTTCCCGTGGTCTTGGGGGGTCTCTGCTCATTCCCCATCAAGACCGCAGACTTCCCTGCAACTTGTGCCTGCAATGTCATTGGCCCTGCAGCTGCACAGGGAGCCCCTGCAGCCCTTCTGTTAAACTGTGAACATTTACTAAAAAACTTGAGGCCCAGTTACATCAGGGCTAGACACCTAAGTAGTACAGTTTAGTTGAACTTCTGTATGACGTGGGGTGCACCAAATGCAAGGGCACATTAGATCAGAGTTTTACATAATCTGGACTCCATTGCACCAAGTAATGCAATTAGAAACCATTGTGCCTCAGCACAGATAAAATGAAGCCTCAAACTCATCTTGATGGCAGATGGGGGATACAGCTGATAAGGGTATGGTAAGGCACAAAACCCATAACAACTGCAGATCACAGTGAGTTGCTCCATTGCTTTAAAGATAGGAAAAGTAAATTAGATGATCACAGTAACTATGAGAATAAATTCTGTTTCAACCCATGAAGGAACATGCACATACAACAGTAAGAGCTCTTCTAAAAGGATGCAACTGGCCACAAAGGAGGCATGTGCATTCAACAGCTGAGGAACTATATGGACAATTCTTGAAGGAGATGCACTGTTGCAAACACTTTGCAAAAATTCAAATATACAATGTCTGAACCAAAGTGGAATACCGTAGTAGACAAGGAAGAAAACATACAACCTTTTTGAAAAAACGAGGATCTGTATTAAACAGCATGGTAATTTAATTCAGTAATTCACATTTTTATTTTAAGTTAGGCTCTTTATAAAAATCATACAGAATCCTGCAGGAAGAAAAACATAGTAATTATATTTACATAGTCATACATTAATGTCTAACACATTCACATTTACCAGAAAACTTTATGGTGTCCATACCTGAGGTACTTTTAAATCTTCATCTTCAAAATCAGAGATCCATTGCTTTCGTGTTTCTTAATTAGAAGGTATGAAAAAAAGACATCTCTTTTAGAATGTGACATATTGCAAATGAGTGTTAGATTTGCATCCAAAAACTTATTTAACTAATTCCTCATTTAGATGTAAATATTTATAATTAAAGTATTTTCTAAATAAGTAAACTCCGGAAAGGTTTAACAAATTCAGCACACATACAAAGGAATGAAAGAAAGGAAGTATGACACACCACGTCAGATTTTCACCCAATATAAATTGGCATAGTATAACTGAAGTCAATGAAGCTATGTTCATTAGATCAGCTGTAGATCTCACCCGATGCTTTTAGACAGATACTCAAAAACCTCTCTAATAGACAACTGCAAACTATTTGTAAAACACTGCTAATCTCTAGGGACCCAATCTTACAATACGTAAGCAACTGTCTTAACTTTATTTATGTGGGTAGTTCTATTAACCTCATTGGGACTACACACAAATCAAGTTATACAAACACACACTTAAGTGTTTGCAGGATCAGAGCCTATTTCTATACAGTACAAGTAATATTTGCCTTTAAAATACAGAAGTTGCCCAAAACGAATTATTAACATTCTTAAATGTTAGGGGGAGAGATTTTCAGGGGAACAAGTATAGTTGGATGCTAAACTGCCCTTTATACCTCTAGAAGTCATCCAATAGTTCTGGACTTTTGCATAATCCCTTCTAGCTATGAAGCTTTCCCATAAGCATTGGTTCCTGAACATTTTTACTCAATTTTTTTAAAGTTGTATACATCAAAAAAATGCATGCCGTAGATACTGGAAATTACATTCAAAGCATAAGAATTTCTCTTTTAAACAAAAAGATTTACAAGGCTTACACTAGAGTCATTAATTTGCTCTTTTATGTAGATAAATATTTATACTACTTACAACTAGTAATTACTGATTACGAGTTGCAAATACTGTTAGAACCATTTATAATGTTCTAATGAGATGCAGCATGCCTTCTTCTCTGTTCTTTGTGTGGATTATTTACACAGTGCCCAAAAATGTGCTAGGAAGCAAGGAAGGAGTTGATTTAGACTAGAGCTACATTTTTTAGTAATATATAAGGAAAAATAGAGAATCATAAATATACATTTGTCTAGTTTCAAGTAACTTTTATTTTGCCTTTTGCCTGCTCCAGATACCTGCCTCAAACACAGCACTGCATTAAATGAACACTATTTACACAAATTAGCTCTGCTGGTGTTCCCAGATCTGACCCTTCCTGGACTGCTTCACCAGTACCATGTTGCAACTGTCAAATGTGCCACGACTGAACCAGGGAGCGACACCTCCACATGCACACATCAGTGTGAGCTCCTATACTCTTCCCGCATGCTCCCTCAAGTGACACCAGAAGGTGGATATTCTCTGCCTACATTTCCTGGTACTGTCTTTGAGAGTCATGAGAGAAGAGGAAGAGGAAGAGGGGAGGCAGTTTTCTGTGTATTTTGAAGGGGGTAGCAGGCAGGGCCGGCTCCAGGGTTTTGGTCGCCCCAAGCAGCCAAAAAAAAAAGCCGCGATCGTGATCTGCGGCGGCAATTCGGGGGAAGGTCCTTTGCTCCCAGCGGGAGTGAGGGACCATCCACCGAATTGCCGCCGAATAGCTGGAGGTGCCGCCCCTCTCCCGAGCAGCCGCCCCAAGCACCTGCTTGCCAAGCTGGTGCCGGCCCTGGTAGCAGGGAAGTTTGGGTTTTTTTCCCACCCGCTACTTCAGGAGCTGCTTTAAGTGCTTCATAGCTTTCTGGTATATTTTGGGCAGCCCATCTTAGAACAGTTTCTTCCTTTACAAATTGTGCTTGCCCTCCTTGGCTTAAGGGGGCACTTGTCTCCATCCTTATATTTTAATTTTATTTTTCTTTCATAAGAAGCAAAACAAATGTAAAGACCTTAACAGCATCTGTGGTTATAAAAAGAGTCTAAAATGTGCTCCATGCTTTTTTCTCCTTTAAGAATCCAGTGAAAGATTTTACTTTGTGCTTCAGTCCGCGCCATCTTCTCCCTTAGCTTATTAGTGCACCAGAAGCACTCAGCCTAGCTGATTAAAACCGGTGATTACATCTGATGCCAACTTTGTTTAATTTGTATTTACAGCTGTGAATACTCTTGAAGGGTAATTTGATTCTTGATACTAAACTAGATACTATCCTTAATAAAATTTCTCAGACTGAAAACTGATTTGAAGTAGTTGAGAAGAAATCTGAAAATATGAAGAAAAAGCCTTTGGCTTTGGAAACAGAATTAAATAATACTAATAGGCATTGTATCTAGTTTCTCAATAGTAGTACAGCCTCTAATATCTAAACATGGGACATGCTTTTGATGTGCACGAGAGGCAGGGGAAAAGGAGAAATTAACTGTTTGATATTATTACACTATTAGCAAGAATTTGATTCTCCTCTCTAGAACTAAGGATACCTAATAAAAGTTCTGTACCTAAATCTTCCTAATCTGCTGGTACTAAAACTGTAGTTCTTATGTCTTCCAATGACAGAGCACATGTGATGCAATTGGTCTGCAAAAAATGGAAACATTATGTATAATAAAAATATATGTATAACCAGACAGTCTAAAGCTACCCATCCATGTTTGACATGGAAAAAAAAAAAGTTCCTGCAGAAGGAAAAATTGGTTGCTTTTGCTTTAACTGCTTCAAGTCTGTTTCTAGATAAACTGAGGTTAGTCAAAGATCAAAGCATTATTTATTTTTATTATGATAGGGAAAAACCTTTTGGCTTCTTAAATTAGGCATATGGGGATCCTGCAAATATTTATTCATTGTGTTCAATTTTACACATACAAGTAGTCCCACTGAAGTTAGTGGGACTAATTTCATGCCTAGCAGTTTGCAGGATGAGGCCTTAGAGAAATGCATATGGAATGATAAGGGGAGGAGGACCAAACAAGACGAGGATGGGATTACTCGCATGCACAAAGTTAAGCACATGAGTTTATGATGTTTGCAGGATCAGGACCTTAGCTTATAAGCTCTTTGGGTCAGGGATCACATCTTGCTCACTTTGTGAACATGACGTACATCTACAGTGCATTGCAAATAACTTTTAGCAATATATTTTATTTTTAAAATGCTGATTCAGGGTTACATTACCCCCAACTTAACTGTGCTATTGGGAAGCAACAAGGGTAGTCAGATCAACCAAATTTCTGCTTTTGTCCCTATAGAGCAAAATCCATTAAACATCACAGAAGGGTTTTTTGTTTGTTTGAAACTGGAACAAAACATCCCCTTTATTTAAGAAAAAAATTGGACTATATGTTAAACACCACAGAAATATCATCCTGCCAGGAGTTTAACACATTCCTTCCTTGGTCCTCCTACCCCCACTGTACACTTTGTATTCTGTGCTGAAATTGAAATTAATAGAATTTGAAAATGTAGAAAACATCCAAAAAAAATTTAAATTAATGATATTCTATTATTGTTTAACAGTGCGATTAATCGTGATTATTTTTTTCCAACTACTGATGCTTGTCTTTGCATCCTGAATGTTCTTTGAACATAGGGGTGGTTTTGGTTTGGTTAGGTTTTTCTTTGTTAATATATTGTTAGACTGGGTTAAAGGTGGACTCTTGAATGGGGAATGAATGTAGATAGCACAACAAAAGGATGTTGGGGTCAACTATCCTTTAGGGTTGAGGGCCTTTTTCTTTAAATGTAACACTTGTCCTTTACTATCAAGTTCAGCTGATGTAGTTACACTGTTTATATGGCTCAGGTGTGAGCACAAGAGCAGTATTCATAAATCAGATGGTGTAATAGAAATTCTCCCTGAAAAAAGGTTTCTATTATGTTAACTGTAGGCTTGATCCAAAGACCACTGAAGTCATTTGATCACACCTCTTAACTTTCTAATTTTATAATACTACGTGTATATGTTGACGGGAGGAGGGGAAAGAATGGTAATTAAAACATATTCTTAGGTAGTGGAATGAAATTCAGACAGTGGAACAGCCTGCAATGGAGACTTCAAAAGATAGTGTTTAATGTCTCTGCACTGGGAAGTCTTTGCATTAAGCTCTGGATTTGACCCTAGCCCTGCTATGTGCTAATGGCATTGGAATTAATGCCAAATAAATGTATTTGTTGGGTTTGAGGGTTTTTTGTTTTGTTTTGTTTTTTAGTATTCTAAAGGCTTGATTTGAAATACTTTTAAATCTCATCTTCTTTATTGTATGCAAGGCCATGTAGAAGAAAAAACACTTCACACCTTCTGGGTTTTTTTTTTTTCCGTTTTATTAAAGTAAACCCTATAGCAGAAGTATTTTTGAATTTAATTATGCTAGTCTTAAGTCCTCCTAAGCAAGAAATACTTTACATTTGTTATCAAAAATGGATGGACAGCATGGATGTTTCTCTGCTTTTGTTCTGAGGCAAAAAAATAAATTTTCCAGTTTTTCTCTTTGTTTATGTATTTGTATTAGGGCTGTCAAGCGACTAAAAAAATTAATCATGATTAATCATGCAATTAAAAAAATCAATTGCATGATTAATTGCACTGTTAAATAATAACAGAATAAAATTTATTAAAAGATTTTTGGATGTTTTCTACATTTTCAAATATATTAATTTCAATTTCAACACAGAATACAACACATTTCCCCTTCCCCTCCAAGTTTGATCCCTTCCTACCCTGTCTATTCCAGCCCTGTCTCTTCCCCACCTGTGGCTCCTTGTCCCAGGCCCTTTCTCCATGCCTATCCAGTCCAAGTCTCCACCCCTAAGACTTCACATCCTAGTCCTACTCTTCTTGCCCAGTCAGTCTAGTCTCCCTCCTCATGCTCCTCATACAATCTAAATCTCTCTTCCCACCACACCCCTATTCTTTTCCCCCACTGTTTCTTAGTGACTGTCTCCTAGAGCAGCCTATCCCACTGTCCCCGCTCCCCTTCAGCTCCTCATCCAATCTCAGTGACCCCATCTGCCCCACCAATCAGTTCCCAGAAGCCCATCCCCCACCCAGTCTTAATCTCCGTGCCCAGCCAGTCCTAGTCTCCATTACCCACACTATCCTCAATCCCAGCTTCTCTCCCTCACTCCCTCCAGTCCGTTTCACCAATTTGTCCCAATTTACTCCTTACCTTCCCCCCGTACAGCTTTTGTTCTCTTTGCATTCAAATCAGACTGCTTCCTCCTCCATGCTGTCTGAGTGCTAACTGGGGGGTGGGGTCCCTACGAGCACAGGAGAGACAAGCTTCCGAGCTCTGATTTTCAGTACCCAGCAGCACCTAGGCCCAGTGCAGTCATTAGAGGGAGTGTCCTGCTTAACCTGCATAGCCCTGAGCTGGAACATGCTCAGTCACTCTATGAGGATGACTAGGGTCCAACCAAAGTCATGGCCATGAAAAACAAGTCAAAGACCATGAAATCGGGTCTCCGCCCGTGAAATCGGGTCTTGTGTGCTTTTACTCTATACCGTACAGATTTCACAGGGAGACCAATGTTTCTCAAATTGGGGGGTCCTGACCCAAAAGGGAGTTGCAGGGGGGGTGTCACAGTATTGCCATCCTTACTTCTGCATTGTCTTCAGAGCTGGGCAGCCAGAGAGTGGCGACTGTTGAATAATTTGGCTGAAATTTTTCAAAACTCAGCCTGAGGCAAACATCCAGCATGGAAAATTTCAGCTTGAAAGATTTGGTTGCTATAAGTAACTGAAAACAGGGTCTTATAACAGGAAGTGTTGGGAAATCTTAATAAGCAATTATACCAACCACACCTACCGTGTAAGCACTCATTTCAAGCTTTGTTTAAATCCACATTTCTGAACCTTTTGGAGCATTCGTCTGACCTCCATTCACTAACAATTTGCACTTTGAAGAGTTCAGATTTAAAAACAGGACTTTTTAAAAATATCCCATAGTAAAAATGTATACAATAATTAGGGTTGTAGATTAATAGCAGTTAACTCACGCGATTAACCAAAAAAAATTAATCGCGATTAATCGCAATTTTAAACAATAGAATACCAATTGAAATTTATTAAATACTTTGGATGTTTCTCTACATTTTCATATATATTGTATTCTGTGTTGTAACTGAAATCAAAGTGTGTATTATTTTTGATTATAAATATTTGTACTGTAAAAATTATCAAAACAAAAGAAATAGCATTTTTCAATTCACCTCATACAAGTACCGTAGTGCAATCTCTGTCGTGAAAGTGCAATTAACAAATGTAGATTTTTTTTTTGTTACATAACTGCACTCAAAACAATGTAAAACTTTAGAGCCTACAAGTCCACTCAGTCTACTTCTTGTTCAACCAATCGCTAAGACAAAGAAGTTTGTTTACATTTACAGTAGATAATGGGGCCCTCTTCTTATTTACAATGTCACCCAGAAAGTGAGAAAAGGCATTTGCATGGCACTTTTGTAGCTGGCATTGCAAGATATCTATGTGCCAGATATGCTAAACATTTGTATCCCCCTGCATGCTTCGGCCACCATTCCAGAGGACATGCGTCCATGCTGATGACACTCTTTAAAAAAAAATAATGTGTTAATTAAATTTGTGACTGAACTCCTTGGGGAAGAATTGTATGTCCCCTGCTCTGTTTTACCTGTATTCTGCCATATGTTTCATGTTATAGCAGTCTAGGATGATGACCCAGCACATGTTGTTCATTTTAAGAACACTTCCACTGCAGATTTCACAAAACACAAAGAAGTTGACAATGTGAGATTTCTAAAGATGGCTACAGCACTCAACCCAAGGTTTAAGAATCTGAAGTGCCTTCCAAAATCTGAGAGGGACGATGTGTGGAGCATGCTTTCAGAAGTCTTAAAAGAGCAACACTCCAATGCAGAAACAACAGAATCTGAACTACCGAAAAAGAAAATCAACCTTCTGCTGGTGGCATCTGACTCAGATAATGAAAATGAACATGCGTCGGTCTGCATTGCTTTGGATTGTTATCAAGCAGAACTAGTCATCAGCATGGACGCATGTCCCCTGGAATGGTGGTTGAAGCATGAAGCGACATATGAATATTTATCTTGTGACACCGGCTACAACAGTGCCATAGAGAATGCCTGTTCTCACTTTCAGGTGACATTGTAAACAAGAAGCGGGCAGCATTATCTCCTGCAAATGCAAACAAACTTGTTTGTCTGAGTGATTGGCTGAACAAGTAGGACTGAGTGGACTTGCAGGCTCTAAAATTTTACATTGTTTTATTTTTTAATGCAGTTTTTTTGTACATGATTCCACATTTGTAAATTCAACTTTCATGATTAAGAGATTGCA